CCCGCCCCGCCCCAGCCTGCCCCTCACCGCCCTGGCCCAGAAGTCAGTGACTTCCCAGAACGTGTTCTGTGAAGAAGCCTGGAGGGATTTAGTTTGAATCACATTTTATCAAGGCTATTTGTGAAAAGATGTAGGGATGCTATATTTCGTTTGGTGATACATCTCACTGTTACAGATCAAGCTTCGAATTTCCTGTATCTGTGTCTTTATCCTCCAAATCAAAATTCTTTCAGCCTTTCTGGCCCAGCCCATGTTTAGAACTCTACCTGGAAGCCACAGTAGGATCATTTATTTTTATTATTCCTGTTAGGAAATGAAATTCTAGTGAATACTGTCGTGTCTGTGGCAGTGAGTCAGTGTGAGTGTTGTGGTGCAGGGGGTGAACGTCAACGAGGTTTTCATCCTTCTTTTCAGGAATGACTTCTGCTCTATGTCTCACTCTCGTTGCTCACGTTTATGGAGTGTTCAGTGGCTTGCAGGACTATTTGTTCACACTCCGTTTGCTTTGGTTGTTACCCTCTTGGGGAGCTGACCTCACCTTCATTTTATAGATGGGAGAGTCTGCATTTCTGCAGTTACGTGACCTGCTGAGGGTCACACAGGTGGTGGAGCCCAGACTAGAACTTAAGCATGGTGACGTGAAATCTCACTTCTTATTGTTACTGTTCCTGGTGGCTTCTTTCATGACATGAATCCTATCTGTAATGGCTCATTTACTTTTCTGTCTTCTCTGCTAGTCTGTAAGTGTCTCTAATTAAGGATTATGCCTTTTCACTTTTTTTGCCCGTTTAGTAAACACGTGACTATTTTATATAGCGTCTCCACCATGGAAGCAGTTTGCATCTCCTCATGAGGCGCGTCATTATGATGATTGAAGTCTGTGTTATAAACTTAAATAAGAGCTTTAACCCTTACCAGCACCCAGTTTCTTGGAGTGAGCTGGGCGCTAGTTCTTATGCTGTGCGGAGATTAGGTTTGTCTAAATTTATCACAAATATTTTAAATAATAAATTAATCTTAGCATACTGTAACATTTTTGTTAAAAACTGAAACACAACACACACGTTAGCCTAGGCCCACTCAGGGTCAGAATCGTCCTTGTCTCTGTCTCTGCTGAAAGGCCTTCAGGGGCGGTGACAGGTGTGGCGCTGTCGTCCCCACACTAGTAATGCCTTCTGGATGCCCCTTCAGAACTGCCTGAGGCCCTTGTACAGTTAATTTTCTTTAATGAGTAGTGGTGTACACTATAAAATGATAACACCACAGTAAAGACATAAACCAGTAACATCGCCATTTACTGTTGTCACGGATTATGTGCTGTCCCTAACTGCACCTGTTTGACTTTGATTAAACTGGCAGCGCGGTGGCTTGTCTGCAGCACATCACTGCAGACACACAGGTGGCGTGGCGTGCTCTGACACACAGGCAGCTACCATGTGGGCTGGAATGTTCTGGCTGCACTGTGGGGCAGGAATGTTCTGGCTGCACTGTGATCTTGTACGTGCAGTCTGTCCCCGACTGAAGCCTTGTTACCCAGTGCGACCATATTAGAAGTACATTAAACGCATCAAATGATGCTTTACTTCAGTGTCTTCCTCCCTTTCTCTCTTGCTTTCTTTTTAATGTGTTGTTACAGATCATTATGAGCACACCATAAAGTAGACAGGATAACACAGCAAACCTTTGGCATCCACCCTGGGGCCCCAGCCACCTCCAGCCCCTTCCTAACCTTGCTCTGATCGCTTTCCACCCCTTAATGTTTCGTAGTAAATTCTAAATATATAATTTCATCCTTAAATATTTCCTGTGTTATTTATTTATTTATTTTGAGACAGAGTCTCACTATGTTGCCCTTAGTTAGAGTGCCATGGTGTCACAGCTCACAGCAACCTCCAGCTCTTGGGCATAAGCGATTCTCTTGCCTCAGCCTCCCAAGTAGCTGGGACTACAGGCACCTGCCACAATGCCCGGCTATTTTTTTTTGTTGCAGTTGTCATTGTTGTTTAGCTGGCTTGGGCCAGATTTGAACCTGCCAGCCTTGGTGCATGTGACCAGTGCCATAACCACTGTGCTACAGGCGCTAGGATTCTTTTAAAAATTCAAGCAATTAATACTACTGTATTACATGTCAAAATTAATAATTCTTAATAGCATCAGATACCTAGCGTTTGAGTTTCCAGTCATGCCCTTGGCTCTCTGTGCCTCCACCGCCTCCCTTCTCTGTCTACCTGAGTTTTATTTTTCTTTTAACATTAAGCTAGTGGCAACTCTTCAAAGTAGTTTTAATTATTTAATCAAGTTAGAGGCTTTGTTATTACTCAGTCTGTATAAACTTACAATAGAGTATTTATGGATTCAAAATGTGTCTTTACTGCATATGTGGATGGGTGGATGTATCTATCAATTTATTGATCCATCTAAATTAGTGAAAGGTTTTCACATATTTAGAAACCACCCATAACTTGATGCGCTTAATATAAAATCTAAAATCCTTTGCTCACATGGCCTTGAATGATCTCACCACTGCCTACCCTAACGTTTCCTCACACCATCCATTCCTTCAACCCTCTCTGATTTTAGTCGAAGTGTTTTCTCTCAGTACGTCAGATGTGCTAAACTCATAAATTCTATGTCTCTGAGCTTTTGACAAGTTTTTCTTTCTTATTCTCTATAAAATTATTTTCTTGATTTTCTACATGGCAGACTTTGGATTCACTAGTCTAAGTCTCCCCGTTAGATCCCTTATTGGATCCATTACCTTTCCTCATAAACTGACACAGTTTGTTATTATGTATCTATCTACTCAGTGACCACTTTATCCGACTTTCGGTAGGCAGCAGCTCCGTGTGGCCAGATGCTCTCCCCCTGCCTGTCACAGTGCTCTGCATGTAGTAGCAGCAAAACAAACACCATCAGATATGCGTGGCAGCACCTTTCTGGGTTATAAACTAATATATTAATCCAAATAGCACTACTTATATTTATAGAACAAATTTTAATAATTCTGCAATTGACCACAAGTTCAGCATTTCTGGGTTAGGAAGCATCACATCATTTAGAGGAAGCCAGATGAGTTGCAAGTTTTGCAAATGTCATGCATTTAACTAGTAAGATAGTATAAACAGTGTTCAGAGAACAACGTTTTCATATGCTTGATTATTAAGAAGAGCTTAGAGATTTCTAATTATACATCTGTATTTAAAATAATTTCTTTCCAAACATTTTAGATACTCAAGATGATGAGGTGGCAGAAACTGTTTACAGAGATAGGAAGAGAAAATTACCTTTGCAGCTGACAGTGGAGCTAACGGAAGAGACCTTCAATACGACGGTGACGGCTTCTGACAGCATGGTGCTCTTCTACGCCGGCTGTGAGTGTGAGCCCGTGGAGGGGGCCGTCCCAGAGCACATGCCAGCACATTTAAAAGTCATTCTGCGTGTTGCATGTTGTAAAATGATGGAGCTTTCCTATATCTCAAGTAGACAGCACACATTGAAGCCTTGACTCCTGACAGGTCGTACAATTGACATATGCCGCGTGTGCGTGAGTGTGCCAGGGGTGCCAAAAAATATGTCTACGCATCTTAAGAGATGTTATCTCTGTATTAATTTTTGTTTGCTATAATCAGAAGTGTCTAGATCCTGATGATAACCGTTTGAGCACCTCCTATAATTGCAGAAATCAAATGTGACTTGTATTCATCTTTGTTATTGGTATATATTATTATCGTTTTAACATTTTTTTCCTTTCTTAAAATGTGTATACATTTTTTGATATATATGTTCATATCTGATTTACAAATTAATGGTTACTTTTTAAACTAGATTTTATATTAATTTAAAAAATTGTGTTTCAAGCTAATTGTTTTTAATATGTTAACAGTTCTTACAGATTTATAATAGCGTATTGCTTATATCTTCAAATAATAGCCATTCAGCTACATTCTCTGTGGTATGAATGCAGAAAGTCACTTGAACTTGGAAGTCCCTTAGTGCTTGTAGGGAGGACTGTATGCTGGGATGTTTCTTGTTAAGAAGTAACAGTTTTGGGTAATGTCATAAGTCTGTTTGCTGTAAGTATGTATGGATGCTTTGGAGATATGCATGTAATATCTGTTGCCTTCTTCTGTTTAATGTAGGGCAAGCAGTGTCCATGGCCTTTCTGCAGTCCTATGTCGATGTGGCAGTTAAACTGGAAGGTATTGTGCTGGGTGTGTGTGCTCCTTTTCCTGATTCTGAGCTGTGGCTGTAGTACACCGCCAGGGTAAAGATGTATAGAAAACACCGTACAGTTCTGGGTTATTATGTTTGTGTCTCCAAGGTTCAGTTAATGAGCCCAGAGTTTCAAAAGTGCCCATTTTGGTTTATCTTCATGGAACTGTGTTTAGTAGAAAATAGAGATCCTATATGTTGAGTACTCCACAGTTAATCTACTAACCTTTTTGGCTGAATTCAATCATTCAGCAAGCGTTTGTTGAGTGTCTGTTTTGTACTAATTACTATTAAATACTGGAGATAAAAATTTGACAGATAAGATCCAGTTTCACAATCTAACGAAAGGTGAGAGATTTCAGTGTTTTTTTTTGTTTTGTTTTGTTTTGTTTTTTGAGACAGAGCCTCAAGCTGTCCCCCTGGGTAGAGTGCCGTGGCATCACAGCTCACAGCAACCTCCAACTCCTGGGCTCAAGCAAGTCTCCTGCCTCCACCTCCCAAGTAGCTGGGACCACAGGCGCCCGCCACAACGCCCTGCTATTTTTTGGTTGCAGCCGTCATTGTTGTTTGGCGGGTCCAGGCTGGGGATTCGAACCCACCACCTTAGGTGTAGCTATAGGCGCCAAGCCGATTTCAGTGTTTTTGAAGCTATACAGTCTACTCCTCATGGACTAGAATATTCCTTAATAGCTGACATCTTTTTATTTTAACTCTTCTATGACACCTGATCTAATGGTGGGCAAACATGAATCCAAGGAAAGATGTCTAAGCCATCATTCCAGCAAAGACACAAGGAGAGGGAGGGAGGCCTGGAGTGAGAGGAACCAACGGGTTAGGTGTATGTAGTGTTTTGCAATCACTTGGTTACAAGGTATCAGACCTTGTATCTGTAATGTGGTTTTCATCTACTATTTATCTTGTAAATAGACGCTATTATGGTTAAATAGACTTATTCCTGGCTATGCTGGGAATGTGCCAACTATTTAGTTTTTTGGTTCCAGTGTATAAGCTCTTTCATTACCCTGCAAGTTCCTTAGGTCTGGTAGTGTGTCTTTTATCAACTTACTGGGCTTGGCATGTTGCCTTAATCACAGAATATCTAGTTTTTAATAACTGCTGAATAAATGAATAAACTTAATGTAATAGTTTTATCAATTTTGTTTTATTTATTTATACACTGGAGATTTTATGAACTCAAGAAATTAATTCCAAAAACTCAACCTTAAATGAACCCTTTCGTTTTCCAACATATTTGTTCCAACTTTTGATCACTTCGTTACTAAGTGAAGGGATAATTAAGTCTGTGAGTACTGTGATCCCTAATCATTTCTTTTTTCTTTCTTTTTTTTTTTTAAGAGACAGAGTCTTACTCTGGTCGCCCTCCGTAGAGTACTGTGGCGTCACAGCTCACAGCAACCTCCAGCTCTTGGGTTTAGGCAATTCTCTTGCCTCAGCCTCCCTAGTAGCTGAGACTACAGGTGCCCACCACAACGCTCGGCTACCCTAATCATTTCTTAAAAGGCAAATCCTATCATTTGCTTTCAGATTCTTCTTTATAGTTGCAATCTATGGTCACATTTAAGTTTCTGTTCTTAGGTTCTCTGGCCTTATTGGCAAATAAGTAGAAGAAAAAGGAAAAGGAGAAGAAGGTGTAAAATTACAGTGTAGCTGCAGTCAGGATCCCTGAATGACGGAGTTCACTGTCAGACCCCCACCCCTGTGCTGTCCTCAGTCAGGGTCCCTGAATGACGGAGTTCACTGTCAGCCCCCCACCTCCTGTGCTGTCCTCAGTCAGGGTCCCTGAATGATGGAGTTCACTGTCAGCCCTCACCCCTGTGCTGTCCTCAGTCAGGGTCCCTGAATGACAGAGTTCGCTGCCAGCCCCCTCACACCCCGTGCTGTCTGCAGTCAGGGTCCTGAATGACAGAGTTCACTGTCAGACCCCCACCTCCCATACTGTTTCCACATGAAACCAGAAACCGATTCCCATCCTTTCTTCTCTGTTAATGACCAAATAAAGACACCGTGTGCCCCCTCACCATCAAGACTCTGAGTTCTTTGTGTCTGTAGAAAATGCAAGCACACGACCAGCCCAGGTCTTGCTTTCCTTTTCATTCAGTCTGTTCTTTATAGAGTCCTCTTAGTGATTAGATAGATATTAGATAACTTGACTGTTCTGGAAGTTCAGGTGGCCTAATGTGGACATGCATGGTACAGGTCTGTATAGTCTTTTGTGTCTTTGTTGGGGTCTGTAGTAACTTTGTAAATTAGATAGTATTGTCATACTTACAGCATTTAGTCCTGTGCTCTGTCATTCATGTTAACTTCATGGGACAAAGCTATCTTTTCTTTTAGTCCAAAACAATGAAGAATATTTTTTTACTCAGTCACAAGGTGGCAGCAAACATCAGATTTTTATACTTACGTAGTATGTGTATCTAAGAGAATTGACTTTTTCCCTTGAAGTTAGGAGGCTATTTAAAATGATTGCATTGATAGAGTATGTGAGATGTAATACTACAGACATGTTAGAATATCAGACTGTTCAGATTGCAATATGAGCAAATATGTAAGCCTTTTATAGGAAAGAAAATAAAATTTTTAAATTGATAACTTCATATGAGTAACCCTGTAGCTACTATGGGACAGACTGTATTGTAAAACAGACCATTAACACTGAAGTGATAAGTAATTGCATCTGTGAGAAATCAAGAATCTAAAAATATACAGAGGAATTTTCAGTATTAAAATTTTTGGTGATCAAATATTAGACTATCATATTTCACAGCCCCCATATGGGGTTAAGGTTCCATTTCAGCTGCACCTTCGGCTGACGCAAAGAGATGCCTCCTCCTGTTTGAATCTGCTCCTTTCCTTTGGTGGCTGAGCTACTTTTTTTACTTCGTGTTTTTTTCCACACAGTGATTTCTGTATCTTAGAGAATTTTACCTATTTTTTAATAGAACAAGTAGGAATTTCTGTTTGAGATTCTACTATGTATTACTATGTGTTTTCTTGAGTAGAAAAAGAAATTCTATTATTTGGATAAGAGAGGTCCCAGAAGCCCCAGGGGCTCACATCCATCATTTATTCACACGCATTATTTAAGGTGCTCTAGATGCTGCAGAATCAATAATGAGTAAACAGATGAGTCTCTGCTCACAAGAACTCTCCTGGTGGAGAAAGGCATGAATCAGGTAACCACGCAAATGAGCGCATAACGTGGTTCTGTAACAGCCTGTACTGAACCCCTGGTGTTGATCAGCATGTCAGAGAAGGCTTCCCTGAAGTAGTCACACAGGATGAGAAGGACCTAACTCAGTGAAGCTGGTGGGAGTGTGCTGGTACCAAAAGACCTTTATTTGAGTTTTGAAAAGGTATCTCCAGCATTAATATGGCGACATCAGACTCAGGGAAGTGAATTAGAAGTCTGTCGCAGTCACATCCAGGTGAAATGACTAGAGTGGTGGCAGTGAAGGGAAATGGACGGTCATTAAAGATTTAAAAACCTAAGGTGGGGCTCAGCGCCTGTGGCTCAAGTGGCTAAGGTGCCAGCCACATACACCTAAGGTGGCAAGTTCCAATCCAGCGCGGGCCCGCCAAACAACAATGACAGCTGCAACCAAAAAATAGCCAGGCATTGTGGCAGGTGCCTGTGGTCCCAGCTACTTGGGAGGC